GGAAAATTCTACTACCAGTCCTTCATCACCTTACACGAAATAGGGTGAATACATCTCATTACACTCGTGACAATGTTGCCGAGTGGTTAACGTGTCAAGCTCCCATTATGCACTCTCATGGTTCGACTCCCGCCGGGGTTGTTGATAAGACCGATGCGAGGTCGAAACTGCAGTCCACCCTGGACGAGGACAACTTTTGGAAAAGCAAGCCTCTGTGAAATTCAATGGAAACGTCAGCTCTGCTCATATCATTGTGGGAAAATTCTACTACCATCACCCTAAACGAAATAGGGTGAATACATCTCATATTACTGATTTACTGATAGTCTCAAAACTCTACCTAAATACGAACAATATTAAAATTTAACTATACATTTGAATATTTTCATAAATTTGCCTATTTTTTCACATATATAACCAAATTCATTTTTCGTTGATATAGGTATTTTTCTAGAAAATCAGTATTTTCTTAATATGAACTTATAATTAATTTCCTCTGCAATCAAATAAGTAGGCCCCTCGATTTCGCTGAATTTTGCTCAGTCTTATGCAGGTTAACACCAAAACCAGGTCGTGCGTGTAAAATGCCTTTTAATATTTCTTTATTACAATACCTTCTCAGGCCTTTATCTACTTTATATGCCTTTATTTATTCATAATTATTTTAATATTTTTTTGCACAAAAATATGTAATTATATTTCTATGTTTATTTCATATACTCGATTTAATTTAACCCTGTGTTGACTTTTATTTGACATTAAAGTGTATGATAAAGAGATTCGTACATTGACCCGGTTCACAAGGCATCCTTCTTCGGTTTCGATTTCAGTTGTAACTATTTATACCATTTAAGATAATGCTTGCCAGGATTCCTGGCTTAGTACTAACTTGAAGCATTTTGACAAAAAAGATTTCTAACACAGGCTATGTATGCTTTATGACGGATGTAATTCAGCCCGTTTTCACCTCAACCGCAAAGGATGTCTCATGAACTGCATAAACCTCAGTGTCTTAGTTAACTCAAACGACCGTCATCATTTTTTGGGTAAATCGACCAACGGATTTTTTCATCAGTCATTTTTACACGCAACCAAAGTTACCATAACAATGATATCTCTCAGGAGATTCGCTCATTTAATTTTGTTCATTTGCTATCACTCATTTTGGTCATTCTAGCGGAATACAAATCCACTCGATGTCAACCCCTTTCTGCCTCTACCTCAAACCATGCTCACTAACACACCTCTGTCGTCAAAGCGATATGCTTCTATCCTGGCAACCTGCGTCTCCCTGGGAGCCTTAGCTCTTATCCTCCTGATACTCTTTGCGCTCTACCTTTTTCAGCGCTACCACCCCCAGAATAAAGAAAAACAGGCCGAAGGTAACACCGAGAAGGCAGCCTTTCTGCCAAAAGTAGATTCTCTCTTGTCAGCGAATTCGACGCCAAAGCTGAGGCTGTGTGGGACAGAGGACAAAGGGTCAAATAATGAGTTTGAAGAAAAGAGGGCCGATAACTCAGAGACTAAAGAAACTGACATAAACTTGAATAAAGTGACAACTGAGATGCTGCAACCTGAAAAACGAGACTTTCCTCCCGTTTCCAAGGCCACTATTAGCCTGTTCGAGCCATCAGAATCTAATTTTTCGGTAGCTGAGACCCTCTCTCAGGCCTTTTCTGGGTTCGGCCAGAAGGCTATAGATCTCTTCTCGGAGAGGAGTGGTGGAGATGGTGAGGCCGAGCCTCATTCGCATCTTCCTGACGAGTCACAGGGGGAGGTGAACTGCAAAGGAGGATTCAGGTTAACACACAAGGCAAGTCCAAAATATAGATAACTCTTGATAATCTCTGTCGCAAATTCACCAGAAAATTGTCAACTAAATGGCATAGGTGCTTGTAAATGTGAAAGTTTGAAGTCTGGGTAAAAGTAAGATTAGTTAACTTTTATTACTTTCAGTTCCTTTGAGGACGTGGAGTAGATTTTCACATTTGTAATTTACTAATTCGAATTAAATCAATGCTTTTGTCACCGATATACAATAAAAAAATGAATTGGACAATTATAGGTAATTAAAAAACTTTGCTTTCCAATGCTCGACTATTACTTAGAGGTAGTCGGTTTCGAGAGTATCTGTACCTTTTGAGTGAGAATTGTAGTCACCCTAGGCCGCATAAGGGGATGGAAAACTGCTATTTGACTTTTACTACATTGCTTTGAGTTGGCCTCCTGATTCCATGAACTTTCACTCAGGAAAATTTGCAAAAATTCCGGCTGTGCGACATTGTTAATTTAAGTATTTTATGAAGATACTAAAGAAGTGGTCTGACTTCGTTTTCGCAACTTGGACGTGTTGTCAAGGCCTAGTCGGACTCACTTTGCTCGAAGTCCTCTGCTATAGTAGTTATGATAGGTCTCAGCGTTTGACTGTAGGCTTGCTACACTTCCAACAACACGACAAAGTTGCGAAAATGGGGTCATACTGCGACCACAACACCTATTGCACACATAAAGTCATTTTTTCATTCTCCAAATTATCCAGGCCTTTTGATACGGTTTGTTTAGGTAGTTACCAGGGAATTCTGTCCAAATCCCCTGTCACGAGTGAGGCAAATACCCTCAGCACTACTTACAACCATCAAACAATACTTAAACATACTTAAGCCGTCAATTACTTGACGCTAAAGCGCATGGAGCTGCTGCTAGTTTGGCAAAGTTCGTTACTTGTTAGTTTGTGTTATGAGTGAACTGATAAAGGTCTCTTTTTCCTTCTCTCTTACTACATAATTTATCTGCTTTACTTTGAGATAACTATTTTCAATTTTCATATCTGTGCGTTTTCTGACTCGCTAAATAAGGACGGTTGCTGCAAGCAGATGCTCAACCAGAATGGCCACGTTAAAGACTCGGGCTCTGGCTGTGTGAACTCAACTGGCGAACTTAACAATAGCAATGATGCGCGTGAAGCGCTCACGGCACAAACCAACTCCATCCTCTCCTGGTCAGTCTCCCATATTCTTTTTTGGTGATTGTTAATAAAATGTGAATTTTACATCTATAAACTCTAGGATCCTTCGTTCGCTTCATAGCTTATGACATCAAATTGCGAATGCATGACGGCTGTCCCTCTGGTCTTCGAGCCAAACTGTTTGTTTTTTTAATGATCTTATTTGTGAACCATTATAGAAGATTATCCAAACTTACATAACCACAAGCCTGTCGAGAATGTTTATACCTAAATTGTGTTGTTGTTTGCCTGATCTGTTAACAGAGCTTCCATCACAGATCATATAAAGACCTGTTGATTTCAGCTGCATTCTCTGTATCAGTTCTGATGCTATCTAAAGCCAAGAATGGCATTTGGGCTCGACTAAAGAGTTAATTATGTCTTCATTTGCCCTCTGTTAAAGGCAGGTCCATTATTTGAAGCATACCTTTAGCCAGCTCTATTTCTGTAATAATGGAAGATAATAACCTTCTTCCTATCTCATAATCTCTTCCCAATATTGCATTATATAAATAGAATGTTTGGCTTTTCTCCAAACTTTCTACAGACAAACATAGAGCTGTTAGGGCATGGGGTACCATCGAAATTCTGGATAGTTTCGGACGTGTGGTTTCAATCTAGTTGGCTTGAGTTAGCATTGCTATTTTTGCTAATTTGCTTTGATTGGTGATGCTATGAAACGATTTACAATCCCTTTGATTTTGCCAGTAATCAACTAAACACTAATTCAGCTAGACACAGGAAGAAATGGTTTTTTTTTACGATATTTAAAAAAATTGTATATTTCAATTTGAGAATCTGAAGTACGAATCAGAAAATTTGGCCATATTTCCTTGGTTTCTATATGTGTTCCTTTGGTTGATGGTCTCATCGACAGTATGCTCCAATAAATGTCTACTTTACCAAATGACGGCTTTCTTCTATTTCTGATGGATCAGTTGACCAATATACACAGGGAACCTTTCTGAACTTCTTGAAAACAATCATCAACTTAATATTTGTGAGGACTCAGTACGCTATTTTCAGACCCAAAGCTTTTATAAAAGAAAAAATCAAAATAAGTATTGCCATATGAACCATTATCGCTTTTTATGCACAAACACATTATTAATTAAAATAAAGAATAGAGGACAGTTTATATGCCTTCTTACAATAGGCTAGATTCATCTTCATTTTTAAAGATATAGCCTTCGTGTAATCAAAATTTATTATCGCTCTGTTGATTCTTTATTACTCTTAAACTCGTATATGACACGTACCATCATAAGGACATCTTATTATCCCTTTAGCTGCGATAAATCTACTTACAATGCTCTTTTCTCTCTCTCTCTCTCAACATATCGGCAGGCAATTATATAAGAGATATTTTCATCCTTAGTCACACATAATGATGAAAAACTGATAGTTGAATTTTCCCACAATCATATGAGTAGGCCTCACGCTTCCATAGCCTCGCTTCCCAAAAGGTTATATCATTCGGGCAGGACTGCAGGCTTTAGCTCGCCTAGATCTCTTCGAGACCCCAGCGGGACTCAAACCTGGCCAGTGCACCGTCTATTCTCGACACGTTTTCACCATGTTACGCTGTCATGAGTGCTCCTGGGTCACAGGGAAGATGCTAACTTTTAGGAAGACTATGCTTTTCCCATACCACATTGTGGCAGGACTTCCGATGAAGCTAACTTTTCTTTATTATTACAGTCGACTACATTACTTGTAGTCGTATTGAGTTGGTCATCGAAACGACTATAAAATCCTGAATAAAAGCTGTATTCAAACTGTTTTAGATAAGGAAAGGAAATATTTACTTGCAAAGTTTAACTATCAGTCCTTCCTCATCTTATGCAACCTAGGGCATATACAGTTCTTATTCAAGATCGACTGGTATGCTTGAAAACCCACTTAATAAGAGATAAAGGTTAAGATGGAGCTATTCACAAGCCCATTGCCAATTTTCTGCTGACAACCACATCATTAAATATACATCTTAGCGCTTTCTCTGTATTAAAAATAGTTATAATCGGAGTGATTAAGAGCTTCGCTTGCTAGAGTTGTCCGATTTTCTTGTGCCCCGCTTGAATTCAGCCTGTGTGACAATAGCACAAATCATCGACTGTTGGTATCTCTGTTTTGCTATGGAGATTTAAGTTGTTATTTGAATGAAATAGTTTGCATTAATAAACGGTCTCATTCCTTAGCAAGCTTTCAGATGTTACAATTGTTTTATATGCTAAGAAAAGTTGGGTTTCGAGGACTCTCTTGTTCCGTAATGGTTTAGCTTACTTCCATTTCAAGTGAAAGTGTTTGGTGAAGAGATTCGAAGGTCGATCTCACCAGAAGATGATGGCAGGTTCTTATTTACTAGCTGCTGATTGGCTTTACCAGAAAATTATTTTTGACGCTGTTTCCAGGACAATCTTCTTCGATTCCGGTGAAAACGTGCTAGGTTTTCGCCCATCATATGATTGACATCATCAGAGCAGGGTATCATCCTTACAACCATATTCAAGCTAACCAGTCAATAAAACTTGAATATGGTCATTAGGATAATACCATGCC